CTGTTTTCGCTCCACTCCTCTGATGAGCTGCTGCTTTCTGGACCACCTGTTATTTTCTGAGTGTGATTCAAGGGCAACTCCATTTCAGACCAATTTCAGCAGTCCAACTGAGAAGTAATGAAGACATGAATGACCATCAACAAGAATTTCCAGTCCAGGAATGGCCAGAACTGATACACAAGGTGGAGCTGTGCAAGGGGCCTCCTGGCCACAGCATCACTACTGGTGAAGATTCCTCTCTGAGGCACCTTGTAAAACTACAGCAAATACGACTGTCTTAAAAGCAGGGGCAGCTTTAGGCTAAGACCGAGTAGGCAATGGCCGAGGTTGTGAAAGCTTAGGCAACACCAATGCCACCTCTCCTTGCAAATCGTTCTAAAAATGCAAATCTTTGCATTGGTGGCAGGAGGTGCCATCATTCAATGTGGCCTAGAGGCACCATATACACTTGAGCTGGTACTGCTTAAGAGGATGAATGCTTGGGTCAAAATAATGCACTTCATAAATTTAATTACTTTCCTAAAACCCATGCTTCCATTACCAAAGCACAAAACAAATATTTCCCCCCTTCCTAAACTGCCATAGTAATGTAAACAACTAACACTGGAGATGGCTTTGGAATTACAGTAATGTGTAAATTATCTCCCCATATATTGAAACATTAAAAAAAAATCTATAATAATCCCAAATTAGATTTAAGCTTTCCATGGTCCTGAACATTATAAACTCTTTCACACATATGTCTCTGCAGTTTACTGCTTATCACTGTGGGAGTGGGAAGATTCCAAGGCAAATCGCTGCTTACCTGATGGGTCTCACCTGGGCCAGTCAGTCAAAATGTATGACCTTGAATTCTCAGATGGAAGCAGGATATAACTGAAGCAAGCACACCAATAAACAAAAAGAAATATCTGTTTCTGGAAATGAATCCCACTACTTGAAACATATCCCACAGAAATCGATCTCATCATAAGGCCAATAATTTCCTTTTTAATTGGGTTAAAATAAGTTAAGTGTTAGAGACTTAAAATACTGAAGACAGCATCTTCTACAACTTAATTATCAGTGGTCTTCACAGGATTCTTAAGAGAAGAATAATTTCTGCATGATAAGGACACACAATCACTCCTTTTCTCCACATTAACTAGTTATGAAATGAACAGGACAACTTGACCTTTGTGGCTCATTGCAAAGCCCTCAGTGAACTTTTCAAAAAGTTAAGAGGAACAAAAATCTACACGATCTGCAGTTGCCACTTGCAAACACTAAACAGCTTTCACAAACAGAATGTCATTAAGGAGTATGCTGTACAAACAACCACTCCAGTCATAAAGCTCAAACACATTTCTTCTGTAATCCCTTAAGTAGAAGAAATGAAGGTTGTATCCTATCTAAAAAACCATCTACTATGTGTATTTAGATGCTCTTTTTAACTTTAGAGTCAACATCATCATTCCAGAAATACATGTAATGGACGTGGTAAACACCAGCTGATTTGTTTTCAAAGTCTGTGTATTGGATGCCGTTGCTAACATGGAGCACAGTACATTTGCCTAATGACACATTTCTACTCTTATTAATTAATTAATTCCAGTATCTATAGCGTGCCCTAACAGGGTACAGCAAAGTCCAAGAAAATTAAATTAAAATATAAATAATAGAAACCACAGTAAAGACTAGTACATCAAAGGTTCGATTTAATTTAATTGCTAGTTCACCTTCTGTTCCACAGAAAATTCTAACCTCAGCATGAGGCTAAAAACCATCTTCCAGTGCCACCCCAGGCAATTAGAATAGCCACAACACAGGAAGTGTAGGAAAACCACTAAGGCCTGGCTGGCTGTTCCAGGAAGATTTGGGAAGTGAAATATAGATGGACCCCTACAGGTGGTGTTTCTTTTAGTGGGAGAGTGTTTTGGGGTCACGTCTAATTCAGGATTGTTAATGTTTTAAGCTCATTAAAAAAGAATGTTTGCCATTTAGAGTTGGCTAGGAGTGAAGCAACTTACAAGCCTAGCTAATAAATAATAATGTAACAGTTGCAACATTTCTCTGGGTGAGAAAATCTAATCAGTAATAACTAAGAAGTATCCACTCTTATTTCAAATCTCCTTCTTATGGGGTATAACTATTGACATCTCAGCAAAGATCTCTTTGCATTCAGAGTTAAATATCTCCAACATAGTGACAACTTCCTTCAGAATGGACATTATTTAAAACAGATTAGATAGATTTTGCAAGATAGTTCTTATGCTCTGACATGAAAAAAGGAACCATTAACAAGCAGACATGAATGAATACCAGCAGGGAGAGTCCTATATTTGCCTGCTCTGAATTATGTCCTGTAGTCCTTAACAGAACCTATTCTTAGTAGGTGAATACAAGATTGCAGCGTTTCAAGCTCCTTGAATATAATGTTCATATGATGTTAGAAAAACAATAGATCACATTTTTCTGGCTTGTTCAAATCAATTAAAATGCTGTAGGATGAAAGCCACCTCCATATAGCTGATATCGTCCATGGCTTTGATTCACAATGATTTCTCTTGCAGGATTGTGTTTGGTGACTGAGGTCTGTGTGCATCAATAAAAATGGGGATGGAACTGCACTTAAGGAGCCAATTTGGTGTAGTGATTAAAGCACCAGGCTAGACACCAGGAGGCTGTGGGTTCTAGTCCTGCCTTAAGCACAAAGACAGCTGGGTGCCCTTGGGCCAGTTGCTCTCACCCCTAGGAAGCAGACACTGGCAAGCCACTTCTGAAAAATGTTGCCAAGAAGACTGCAGGGACTCATCCAGGCAGTTGCTAGGAGTCAACACTGACTTGAAGGGAAAAAACCCAAAAACTGCATTTAGGCTTCTCTTGGGAACATAAACATCCACACTGAAAGGATCCACAAAAGGCTCATAGGAAGCTACTTTAGAGCAAGGATCTAGAAGGGCAGGATAACAAGCCTGGTATACAGTACTTAAGTAATTTTAGATCTTGGGTAGAATGATCCTATATGCCCACTCTTTTGAGATGGTAATGCCTACTTTTAAAATGAAGTGCACTAGCACTGTAACATTTGGAAGCCTCTGCTTCTTCTATTCAGTGGGGCAAGGATGTCAACCCTTAAGTCCTCTCCTGGCCATAGCACTGTATGAGATTCTCTTTTCCAGAACTGAAGACCCAGTTTTTAGACCATGCCTAATGCTTTGCTGTATGGATTACCTCTGTTAGAAAAAAATTCGTCTCCGAGCCAGAAATAAACATGCAGGCGGTTGCTTGAAGGAGAGAGAAGACTTTATTTCCAAGAGCCAGATACACAAGACGATCAGCTGTCGGGGTGGGTGCACTCGGAGTTCCTTTTATAGGGAAGATACTACTGTTCCTTGAAAGGTGCGAAGGAATGCCCGCCCTCTAGGAAATCTTAGAAAAGGTACTTAGCTGGGATTCCAAGAGAGAATGCTCTCCTGAGAAACTGACTAGATCTTTAAAAGGGAGCATTCTAAGGTCAGGCGCCCGACTGAGCTGGGGTTTCCTGTGTTTGCCTTATCTGGTATTGTCTAAATGGAATGTAGATCTCTTCAGGGAAGAAATCTTTTTATGATTCGATTAAGGCTTCAAGGAATGTTGGCCCTTCCTGCTAGGTCTTTAGTTATTTAATTTTGGGC